AAATTTCATTACACCCAACTGAAAAATTCTTTAGGAAAAAAAACACATATGAAGGATATTTTCAACACAATTTAAAGCTCTACAAAGCAGGAACCCACATATAAAATAATCCAACATGCCAGCCTATACGACACCCTGGGTGTAGCTGAAAACATCATAGCCCCACATATTAAAGCTCAATAGTCCAACATGTTGTAAAGTAGCAAAGAACTGACAGCAAATATCCAGCACAAAAAAGTGATTATGCTAAGTAGCATAGCTGCTAGTTCGTTTCTTTTTTTACTTGATTTTTCCAATAATGTACTGTCGGTGGAGAAATTTGATATGCTCATCTCTCAAATACCACCACAATGTGACCTTGAACAATGCACTTAAGCCCCATTTGCTCTGGCTGAACTGCTCAATGGCCATTAATAGCAGACGCACACAGAGCAGCTCATAGGTACGACTGACTAGGATAATGGTTTTATGAAAAATAAATAAAAATTGAGTTAAGAGATTCTAGACAAAAGCAAAAAAAAGGACAGGAAATACGATGAGACTCAAAAGCCCAGAGAGAGCAGCACGCCCGCGAGGGTTAAGGTGGGGTGACTAATGGAAGGGCATCACTACTACTGAGGTAAAAGCCGATGGCCTTGTGCTGATAACAGGGGTGGGTGACTTCAAGGCTGAGAGCACAATAATAGCTTATACTCTCTGGACCACTGAAGGAGAGGCCCGTGATTATAAAGGGACACTGGCAGGAGAAAGTGTAGTAATTTGTGATGATTTTAAACTTCCTTTTTGCTCTTGGATGAAAATCAATCACCAAACGTGCTTCAGTTCTTTCCTGTATACAGTGAAATATCGATAATGATACCACTAGAGGTCCAAAACATGAACCGGGCAGACCATTAGACACTTCGTATTGACATCTCGAACATAAATCTCGAAGGAGAGTGGTCATTAGTTTAAATTACACACAATAGGGAACTGCAAGCAGCTGTTACAGTATTGCAGATTAGATTTTTAAAAATGCTGTTAAAAATTACTCTATATATATTGTGTCATAATAAGACATATGAAAAGTAACAAATTCTCACAACTGAGAAACTGGAAATTTTTTAGCTTTTTGCTTGAAAAGTGACTTTGCTGAAAGCGTTTAGCAAAATAGTTGCAAATAGTTTTCTGAAAAATTAGATAACACTTAAAATATGGCCAAAAAAATCTGTGGAAATATATTCTGATAGGCCTCAAGATATTGAAACATACGTGCAGATTCTCTACAAAGTAAAGAAAAAGAACGCAATCATATTATGATAACTAACCATACCAAAGCATGGCATGTCACGTGATTTGATACAAACTTGTTACAAAGTAAAGAAATTTGTGGTTTGTCGATTATTTCTTTGCTGTGATAAGACTTCTTGGCAATAATTCTATTTAGTTTTCCTTAAATGTTGCCACATTTGTAAGAAAAATGCATTTGGGCAGCACCCATTAAAAATTTGCCAAACAGATGTCTGCCATTGACTCTTGTTTGGTATTGTTTATTGGATTGGATGATTGAAGTCTGAAGAAACAAGACAAACCCACCATTTAACAATTTATTCATCTAACAAACAGAGCCCTCTGCAGCATGTTGAGGAACCATGCAGAGCCACAACAGCCTGGCATCACCTCCTCATGCTGGTCACACAGTCCTGTGGGATGGTGTCTTATTTTTCAACCGGCTTTTGTCACAAGTCAGCCAGCGCGGTTGTGTTGGTCACTCTGACACGAACAGCACGCCTATGCTGATCAAACAAGTATTCAGTGGCCACTTCATCTTCTACACTCCCAAATTCTGGGCGTGGTCCCTTATAAACCCCGCTTTGTGTGATGTGCATTATAATCTTGGAGGATAGAGTTCTCTAGAAATATGGTATTGTCCACTGGTTGCAGAATCTCGTCATCACCATCATACAGAACTTGGCCTTCCATTTGGAAATGGTACCAGGGCTCACCTGCTGCAACTTAGCTTTGCAGAACACCAGCTTGAAGTCACCCTATGACGTAAGCCCTAACCAGATCTGTCAAACGTGGCCTGTTTGGAGCAGACAACAACTGACCGCTCTACCAGAGTCCAAGCTCGCATGTGCAAGAGTCAAAAGGAGAATAGGCTGTTTGCCACTGACAAAAGATTTGGCAAATTTTACATCAACTCTGCTGTTCAACCCACAAATGCATTTTCCTTATAAATTGGAAGCATTTAAGGAGAAATAAACAGGCTTTCCAGGGGTATCAGGATTTTTTGCCAAGAAAGATTGTTACAACAAAAGAATAATCGTGTGTTTTGTTTTATACTATCAAACATGTCAGATGACTTGATGTGACATATTGATGAAAAAGCTCTTGTTTGTGCCTGATTTATCCACATATTAGTAACCTCATGTTTGTCTAAACAGCACGGAGATGATTGGCATATACAACCATAGGATGTAGGATGTAATTAATTCCCAGGAATGGTGATTGGCTGTTTGCAGGAGCTAAAGTGTGCTAATCACATCTATGTACCACAGGGGCACTTTTCAAGCAGTGGGCTCTTAGCTTCATCGATCTCCACCAGCAGATACAGTAGCCCACATCAGTAATGGGAGGGAGTTCAAAGCCTACTTGCTATACAAGGCTCTGTCATATAGAGTTTGGAGGGGAGATATCTGCTGAATAGTCAGCTTCTTTAGGGAAAAAAA